CTGGGGTTGGGAACCAGCTCCCCTTTGGCTGGGGGGGAGTTTATGGGGGTGGCACCTCACCGTCGCTGCAGCTGGCTCCTCCTGGAAACCTCTTCATCCTGCAAAAGAACCACAGACAGATAGATCAGCCCCAGGCTGGGTGCAGGACTTGCTCCCCAGCAGGGGGTGGGCATGTGGGGCATGACCCCATGGCACCCAGCTGGGGCCAGAGATGAGGATGTACCATCCCCCAAGCTCCAGCACAGGCGGGGCAGGTCCAGAGCAAGGCACAAGGATGGGGCAGCTCCTCCGGCCCTGTGGGATGTGAGCGGCACCTCAGGACCCCCGGGAACAAGTTGGCACTGCAGGGCCCCGGGGAGATTCCTGGGCAGCAGCTAGCGCCAGCAGATGTCTGAATAGGAGCCGGCCCACTGATCACCCTGCCAGGGGCCCGGTGGTGCCGAAGGGGTCTCACATTCTGCCAGCAGAGCTCTCAGTTCAGAGATGGTGACCTTGTATTGTGTCACCCTTAGTGCCCCAGACCTAAAAACAAGAAGCTGGAGTCAGGGGAGGATCACAGTCCCCATATCTCATTCTCGAATACTTTCCTTGTAACAACCAGAGAAATTCCCCAGCAAAAATACTTTGTGAAGGATGTAAATGGAACAGCAGCGTTGCTGGGAGTCTGAAACAGTGGCCTGGTTCACCCACCCTTACTGGCCATTTCTCCCTAGGGGTGTATGTTTCAAGCCCCCCCCGCCCCCCCGAGCAACAGAGCAAGGGGAGCCAGGGATGACCAGAGAGCAAATGAGGAAGGGCTCCTGGGAGCATGTAATTGGGGAAGGAGCAGCCTGGAGGGGAGCTGCAGACAAAGCAGAGATAGCAGCCCTAGCAGGGGGGAGCAGACAGGATAGGAGAGAACCCTGCCCTCAGTGCAGCACCCCCCTGTGTCCAAGAAGCATCCTGCAGGAGGATTCCTGCTCAGCTCTGGCAGCCTGCAGGGGTCACCTGACTCCTGCCCCTCCCAGGAGTGGGCACAGAGAGCTGAAGGGACAGCTGGGGAGTGTGGCTGATGTTACAGAGGAGCCAGGCTTGGCAGCAAAGTCAGGGACTCCTGCACCCTGGGCCCTCTACTCCAATGGTGCCTGAAGGTACTGCGTATCCCTGCAGCCTGCAAGGCACTCGCTCGAGGTCACAGTCGCTGGCACAGGAAGCTGGAGTTCCATGATTTTGGCTGGGGTTTGCCACCCACGGTCAGGCTGCAACGGGGAAATGACCGCATTCGGGACAGGCGTCACCCCGACGCCTCCCACCTATTTAGAGCATCGACTGGGCCATGAGCCCTTTCGGGCACCATCCATGGCCTCAGCCTACGTATCAGGACCTTTTTGTTCCATCCTGAGAGCCGGAACGGGACTCGCAGCCCAGCAACAATTTCCTCTGACATTTTTTAGTGTGGAAAATAAAATTAACAGCATCCCGGCCCTTCCTGAGCGGCAGCTCCCAGCAAGAGCGCGTGCAACCAAACACGACACTCACAAGCCCACGCAGTCAGGAGACTGCTGTACACGGGGAAACTGGGAGTGTGAATCCTGGCGCTAGTGCCCCTGAGCATGGATCCTACTGGGGGGGAGCTGGGAGTATGAAGCCTAGCGCTAGTGCCTGGGGTGTGTATCCCGCTGGAGGGAGACTGGGGGGTGAATCCTAGTGCTAGTGCCTGGGGTATGGATCCTGCTGGGGGGAGGGGTCTGGAGGGTGAATCCTAGTGCTAGTGCCTGGGGCGTGGATCCCGCTGGAGGGAGGTGCTGGGGGGTGAATCCTAGTGCTAGTGCCTGGGGTGTGGATCCCGCTGGAGGGAGGTGCTGGGGGGTGAATCCTAGTGCTAGTGCCTGGGGTGTGGATCCCGCTGGAGGGGCACTGGGGGGTGAACCCAGGCGCTGGGGCCCCAGATCCCACTGCACTCAGCATGACTTTGCAGACTGCAAGACGCTAACTGAAGGGGAAGCAGCCTCCTAAGGAAGTGTCCGTTTGTGAAACTTAATGACAAGTCAGTACCAGTGCCCAATAAACCACAGGGCAGCGCAGGCTGCACAAGGGGAATTAGAGCCAGCCACAGGCACTGGGCACCCAGGTGTAATGGCAGCTCTCTTGACGTGCACTACAGCGCCCCCTGCTGGGAGAGGCTGGGGCTGGAGCAGCGGTGCACACCCCAACAGCCAGCGCTCCTGCACTGCTCCCTACAGCGCCCCCTGCTGGGAGAGACTGGAGCAGCGGGGCACACCCCAACAGCCAGCGCTCCTGCACTGCTCCCTACAGCGCCCCCTGCTGGGACAAGCTGGGGCTGGAGCAGCGGGGCACACCCCAACAGCCAGCGCTGCAGGGCACTAACCACTCCACAAGCTTCCTTCCCCCAGCCATGGAGCTCAGCAGGGAGCAGAGACAGCCCCAAAGCCGGCGCAGGAACTAGCGCCGAGGCACGGAGAGGATGGGAAGGGAGGAGCCCAGCTGGGACAGGGACTGGGTCAGGGAAAGGGGAGCCCGGCTCGGGAGTCCAGCTGGGGCCGGGCAGGAGGCCCTAGGGAGGTCTTGGCAGAGGTCCCGGTTGGGGCAGGGATGGGTCCTGGCAAGGGTCTCGGCTGGGCCGGAGCAGGCACTCACCTTGCGGCCGGTGGGGGAGCCGTGGCCGCTACCGGCCGGGGACCTGCGGACGGTGACCAGCGCCATGCGCCCCCCGGCCCCACCTGCCACAAACTTCGGGCGTCCCCGGCCGTCCGCCGTCCGCCGCCTGGACCAGGAAGAGCCGGGAGCCTGCAGCGCCAGGCGCCTCCCCTGAGGGCGGCTCTTAAAGGGACAGCCCGGCCCCAGGGCTTCCCCGGGAGACAGCGGCTGCCAAGAAGGCGACGTGGGGTGAGCTGAGCCCCTGTTAGTGCCCTCCAGGGTGGTGCACCTCAATCTCCACCGCAGCCGCTGATCTCCCAGTCCTGGGCTGCCCCACACAGCTCTGCCAGTGCCCCTGTGTCCTGCCCCACAGACCCCTGCTCTCCCAGCCCTGGACTGCCCCACACAGCTCTGCCAGTGCCCCTGTGTCCGGCTCTCCCGGCCCTGGGCTGCCCCCCACAGCTCTGCCAGTGCCCCTGTGTCCTGCCCCACAGACCCCTGCTCTCCCGGCCCTGGGCTGCCCCCCACAGCTTTGCCAGTGCCCCTGTGTCCTGCCCCACAGACCCCTGCTCTCCCAGCCCTGGGCTGCCCCCCACAGCTCGTCCAGTGCCCCTGCTATCCCAGCCCCACGCTTCCCACCCCACGCTATGTTAATACATCTCAATCCCGAATAGCTGCTGAACCTGCTATTCCTGTCCTAGGCTCTTGCCCCTGCCTATTCCCCAGGCCTGCATTCCCAGGTGCACGGGGTTTGGGAGCCCCACCAAACCCATTGCTTGGGAGTGCAGTGCTTTGGAATTTGAAGCTGGATGGGCCAGGGCAGCAGCTCTCTGTCCCGGTGGCATAACACCCTGTCCCCATCCAGGCAGCAGCCGCCCATCTGTGGGGGTGCTGTGATTGCTCCAGTTCAAGGCCATGTTGACAGCAACTCTTGGGATCTAATGAGGGGAAATTGATGGGGAGATGAAAAACTTTGCCATGGGGACACAGAACTAGTAGGGACCATCCAGGTGATCACATCCAGTCCCCTGCTCTCCCATGTAACCCCAGCATATAATCCTGGTCATATATGTACCAAGCTCTACATTAAAACCAGGCCAGTTGTTTGCCCCACTACTCCTAGTGGGAGGTGAGTCAGCCCCACACTCCGCTGGTGGGTAGAAACCTTCTAGTTCCCAACCTGTTTATTCCTGGCCACTTTCTCCCCCTTCATTCTTGTGCCAACATTGTCCTTCATTTTAAATCGCTCGTCTCCCTCCCTGCTGTACTGATAGAGACAGCCCCGCTCCATCTTCATTTTGCCGGGCTAAACAAACCAAACTCTCCCAGTCTTTTCTCGTCTAACAGGCCCCTGCTCATAAAGCCATTGAAGTGTTGGGCTGGAAAGAGCCATGAGAGGTCATCAGGTCCAGCCCCCCATGCTGGGGCAGGACCAAGTAAACCTAGACCATTCCCAGGCAAGGGTTTGTCCCACCTGTTCCTAAAAACCTCCAACCTCTCTTGGTTCCAGAGCTGAACTATCCTTAGAGTTAGAAAGTTTTTCCTACCATCTAACCTAGATATTCCTTGCTGCAGATTAAACCCATTACTTCTCACCCTGCCTTCAGTGGACACAGAGAACAATTTATCCCCGGCCTCATTATAACAGCCCTTAACGTATTTGAAGACCTATCAGGTTCCCCCCTTAGCCATCATTTCTCAAGACTAAATGTGCCCCGTTTTTAACCTTTCCTCATAGGTCAGTTTTTTTTAAATCTCCGATCATTTTTCTTGCTCCCTTCTGGCCTCTCTCCAGTTTGCTCACATCCCTCCCACAGCATGCGCACAGAATTCCAGATGAGGTCTCACCAGTGCCTTGTACAACAGCACGAACCCTTCCCTACCTGTACAGGAATTACCTGACCTGACACATCCTTGGATTCCAATTGCCTTTTGCACAGCCATATCACATTGGTGGCTCATTGTCATCCTGTGATCATCTCGTACAGGCATGTCTTTCTCCGCTGTTCTTTCCAACTGATGAGCACCCAAATTAGAGCAGAAATTCTTCTTTTTAAGACATTACTAATGGGAGGGGAGTGGCAAGAAGGGGGTAAGCTAGAGGGTGGACATGGGGATTGCAGCTCAGGGATTCATGGAGCTAATGAAAGCCAGTGCAGGCACTTGGCCCCTTCTCTGCTCTAGACTCTCAGGCATGGCCCTCTTGCCCACTGGGCACAGGCGTAGCTGGGTCTTGCTTGGTTGTTGAGCATGTCCAAGTCTGTAGTGGATAGGAATAGAGTGGTATCCCTTTAAATAGCATGTGAGCCCTCTAGCAGCACTCACTGTGCTCCATCTTAGAAACCACGAGAGCCCACCCAGAGCAGCAGTGGGCACATAGCCAGGCCTGGCACACCCAGGTGTTTCTGTCCTGTAAAGAAGCAAGATGCAACCAAGCCCCCAGATAAGCAGAAAGACCTCCCAGTATCAGCAGGACACAGTGCCCCCTTGGGGATCCTGTCTGCATTGGGGGAAGCTGGCCAGAGAGGGCCCCAGAGCAGAGGGGATGCTCCGAGCAGGATACTGGCTCCATTCCCTCCCTCAGGCAGCTGATGCACCAGTAAAGGCCCAGGCCAAAGAGTGCGACATGCAGAATGAAGGGAGCCAGAGAGCCAGGGGGTTGGTTGGTTTCTCCTTTTTATTTCATGGTTCCTGCTGCACAGAGGCTCGCACCTGGCCCCTGCGGGTGCCAGGAGGAGCTGCTCCATGCAGCTGATCCCTTTCCAACCTTTGGAGTTGAGTTAAAAAACCAAAACCCACCTTTCACCCTCCCCATTCTAGAGCTGCAGAGATATAAATAAAATAAATTAAACAGGCAGGAGAGGACATGGCAGCTACGCACAGGGGGTTCGGGAGGCGAAACATAGGACTGAAAATTATTGGCCCTGCTTCTATTTGAGTGCCACATTCCACTGCTCCCACCAATGTAGCATCACCACCCTAGTCATCAGGTTTCTGGCCCTGCCCCATCACCTCTAGCCCCACCCCCTTCATTGCCCTCACCCCTATTGCCCACATGGGCTGACAGGACACAGTCAGCATGTGTGTTTGTGTATTATATATTTTATGCCCAGTTTCAGAATCTCACTACCTCCACCAACATGAATTAAGAGTCCAGTTGGAAACTGCTTTCTCTACAGCAGCGGGTTCTCCTTAGCCTCTGCCACTCTGTTGCTGCTCCTCTCCTCCGTTCCCTCATTCTTCTGTTTCCTGCTAGCCATACAAAACTTTCCTCCACCAGGCAGGGGGAATAGAATAACCCATTAAAAAAAAAAAAGTTAAATTAAATAAGACCCAAGAGGCAGCGGAACTGAGAGCCCTGGGAAAGGCAGAGGGTGTCTCGTCAAGTCCAGTCCTGCCCCCTGCAAGACAGGGGGTGGGGAATGGGACGGGTAACCCCTCAAGGTTAAAAATACAACAGCAAAGCCAGGGCACTGGGGAGCCCCTGGGAGTCTTGGGGGAGGCTGGGTTCAGGGCCCCCGGCTGGTAGGCTGGGCATTACTTCTCCGTCAGAGACAGCTGGAGGATGCGCTGCAGCTCCTCATCCTCCTCACGCCGCCGGCGCTCCTGCTCCTCCTGCTCCCGCGACGACAGCTCCATTGCCAGGCGCAGCTGCTCGTCGAAGCTGGGGTAGGCCGGGGGAGGCAGGGCCGAGGAGGAGGAGCCATTGGTGCTGGGGGCCGGGCTGTCATCAGGAGGGACGATGCTGTTGTCGCCGTTGCCTCCGCCACCAGACTCAGTCGCAGCCATGCCTTGCCCCGACTGCAGGAACATGCTCTCCTGGATGGCGCTGTGGGAGAGAGACGCGTGTCAGCAAGTGCCCTCACAGTCCCGCCCCTCAAGACCAGCCTCTCCCTCACAGCTGTGCCCCTTCTTCACAGCCTCACCCCCACCAATCAGCACCTGTCTTTCACAGCCCTGCCTCCACCAACCAGCCCCTCCCGCACAGCCATCCCCCCACTAACCAGCCCCTCCCTCACAGCCACACCCCTTCTCCACAGCCACACCCCTT